GGGGCATGTAGGAAGCAGCCAATCAATGACTCTCTCATCATTGATGTTTCTCTCTCTCTCTCCCTCTCCCTTCCTCTCTCAAATCAATAAAGATATATTTAAAAACAAACAAACAAAAACAAAACATTTCTCCAGGTAAATACTCAGGAGTGTGATTATTATGGGGAGTGTATGTTTAACTTATGTGAGACTGTCAAACTGCTTTCTGGAGGGGCTATACCATCCTGCATTGCCACAAGCCAAGTAGGAGAGGTCCAGTTGCTCTGTGTCCTCGCCTGCACTTGGTATTGGCTGTACTTTTTACATTAGCCATCCCAGTGGATGTGAAGGGGTACATCATCCTGGTTCTAATTTGCTTTTCCCCAATGGCAAGTGATGTTGAACTCCTTTTCCTGTGATGGTTTTGCCTTCTGTATATCCTCTTTGGTGAAGTATCTGTTTGAGTTTTTTGCTCATTTTCAAAATTGGGTTTTAGTTTGCTTATTGTCCAGTAAGACTTAAAAACAATTCTACTAAGGTGTACCTTACGTATTTTAAAATCCACCCATGTTAAGTGTATGATTCAAGGAGTTTTAGTAAGTTCATCACCATAATCCAGTTCTGGAACATTTACATCACCCCAACAAACCTGCTCACACTTATCTATTCTTACTTTTGGGTTTTCAGGAGTCTTTGTATTTTCTGGATACAAGTCCTCAGTAGGGTATAAGATTGGCAGTGTTTTCCAAAAGAAGGGCTTTTTGCTAGAAGAATGAGAATGTGCTAACTGGGGACCTGAGAGGGAGGCCCCAATTCTTACAAACATTTTCTTGATCCTGCAAAATGTCTCCTTTTTTCTGGTTTTAATTTGGGTAGGAGGCCCATTCTTGAAATAATAAAGGAGACTCACCTGTCCTGTGATGAAAGAACCCCAAGGAAGCGTGCAGGTGCCCCACCCCACCTGGTGGGTGGCCGGAGAGGCCAAGGGGGACCCCCCCCCCGGGGGGCCTGGTCACTTCAGGTTCCTGAAGTCCCCAGAGGTGTAAATGGGGTGGGGTGCAGAAGAGGTGATGCAGGGGGCCAGTGGCTGGAAGCCAGTGCCCTCTCTGATGGGCCCATCTCGGTATCTCTGTTTTTGTTTTTTCTTTCTTTTGTTTCGCTTTTTACTAACAAGCATTTCAAAGATTCTAAAGTAAACAGTATAACAAACCTCCAGCAACTTCTGACTGAGCCGCAACCATTATCGGATCCGGACCCCAATCCTCCTCCCACACTGCATGGGCTGTGAAAAACCAAATACCATTAGCGCACCTGTGAGTTGTGTTAGAGGCCCTCAGGTGGACCTACAACCTGATGCGGGAACGCGCAGGACTGGCCAGAACGCGGAATCCCACGAGGTGCCCTTTTCTGGGGTCCGCAGCCAGGCTCCAGGCTGGGGGGCGGAGCCGTCCCCGGGAGCGCACGGGCGGCCCTCCTCTGATTGGTGGGCGCGGCCACATCCTGGCTCCAGACCCCGCCAGTCCCGAGAGCGTCCTCCCAGACTCCCGAGCGCTCGGCGGGTGGGGTTGGCGGGAGGCGGGGAAAAGCCCCGAGCCCCGCGTTCCCCCGCCCGGTTTGTCTCCGAGTGGTCGCTGCGCCGGGAGCCCCACCGACCTAGTCTGCCTCCGCCACACTGAGTCCGCTCCCGATCGATCGGGGTCTCCGGGCAGCCGGCCGAAAGGCTATGGGCGCACACTCGCACCGGGGTCACCCAATTCTGCTGCTGCTGCAGCTGATATCAGGTACGAACGTGGGCCGAGGGACGGATGCCCCGAGAGGGGACGCGGGGTCCGAGCGGCGGGAGCACGCTGCCGGAGTCGGGGATCGGACCCGCGCGCACTCCCTGCTGCCCGCGGCGAGCTGGGTGGGGACGCCCGTTTCCCTTCGGCGCTCTGCCTCCTGAGGCCTCGGCTCGGAGCGCTGGCTCCCGAGTGGCGTGCCCCGGGCGTCGGCTCCATTGTCTGCATCCCACACACTGACTCGCCTTACGTACAAGTGGGGAAACTGAGGCCAGTAAGTAAAGACTTGAAGGCCCCCCTTGAAAAAGAGGGCAGTCGTTTCGGACCCGGGGGCCAAGTGTGCGCGCCAGCCTCTCCTCTCGCGGTCTGTCCACCCCGCCGTGAGCGCGCGCCCCGCCTCTTTCAGGTTCAGGAGAAGTGGCCCAGACCCCGCGCCAGAAGTATCTGGCCTGGGAGGGCTGGTTGTACAAAGGTGCGAGGGTTTGGCATGGCCGCAGGGGGGGCCTGTTGGGAGAACGCGATGTGGCTGGGCGCTCAGAGCACCATTTCCGCCACCTTGCACTCCCCGGAGCTCCTGCCTGTAGCCCTTCATTTATT